TGCTCTCCACACAGCATTTATAATATCTTGTAAATCCTGCACTTGGAGAGGACTCCATGCCGTTACATAATGAATTTCCTAATTTCTTGATGCCTACATGATAACATCTTGTTTCTATGTACCTTATGTATGCGAACAGTTCTCTGATAATGTGCATTTAGGGTATTTCCAAGGTTATTACAGACAGTGCTGTAACTAATATATGCTGGTATATTTGTAGAATAAATTCCTAGAAGTTAAATTTCTGGGTCAAGGGTATCAACTTTGTAATTTATCAGATATCACCAAGGGCTCTCTGTAAGGGTTGTACCAATTTACACTCCCACCCACAGGTATCAGAGTTCCTGTTTCCCCACACCTCAGAGTGTGTTTGTTTTCTTAGCTCATTTAAGTAAAAAAAAAAAAATGGGGAGGGATACAGAAGAAAGTGTTATCTAAAACTGTCTCCTGTGCATCACTCCACCTGAGTGCTTAGAAAGTGCCTAGCAAATGTGGCCTGACCTTTTGATGGGACACAATTGGGCAGGTGACAGATCTCACTAGAAGCAGTGACACACCCCTGACCACCCCCCCACACCTTCCCCATTCAATTGGTTCTCAACCTAAGCACCACAGAGCAGCTCTGAGTGACCCGCTCAGGGTGGAAACCGGAAAGTTAAACAACTTTGGTTTTCTCAAAGCCTGACAAAGCATTCTCCAACCAAACAAGCTACTTAAGAGTTGATCTCACCAAGTTCCCTATATAAATGAACTGGCTCTGAAAGCAACTGGCTTAATTGATAAGCAGTTCCAAAAAGATTCAGAAAACACTTCAACATTTTCCACTGTCCTATACTATAAGCAAACTCTTAGACCACTGTGAACGAGGCAAAGCTTTTAAATAAACCATTTGCCTGACACTGAGTGATATGCATGTATTTCACTGTGTTGTTATTTTTTTAATTGACCCCTTGAATGATGCAAACTTTTCGAGATCCTTTGAAAGCATAATTGCTCCTCTATTACACAAAAGAATGATTATTCCTTAATAAAATATGTTTTCATAGCTTTTCCAGTAATGTCTACCATGACACTATTTCCTTCAAGGCATATTCACTCATGATTTCCACTGTCTCCTTTTCAGCCTTAATTATTTACAGGTGTTAATCGGTGTAAAAATCAACTTTATTGTGGCATAACGTACATAGAATAAAATACTCCCCTTTTAATAGTACATTTTCCTGAGTTGTGACGAACTGATAAGCCTGTGTAACCATGATGATTGGGTTCTCCAGGAGAACACTGTATCATCCTGCTACCGCTATTTCACCTGCACACAGACATGGACTCTAGCCCTTGAAATGCAGAAGTCCCTGCACAGCTCCACTGGCAGGTGGCAACCCTGTCTCTCCTTAAGCAATTTCAATGCCCAGGAGTTTATTATTAAGACAAGCCATATTCCATCTTCCATTTCAACAACTACCATCATGGATGAGAAACTGTTCTTTTCAAACCTAGTATCTGCTCACCTGGATCAACACATAGTCAGAAGGCCACAGATTTTGCCTTTTAGATACATGTACACAGCTGCTCTCCCCTCTCTTAGCCACCCTGTGACTTCTCTGACCCAAATGGTGCAATGGATTCCCAAGGTTTCCAGAACCCTCTCTCACCCTGCTCCTTGCTGCCTGGGGCTCTCCAGCTGGCCTCTTCAGCAGCCACCAAGTGTGGGCTGACCTGGGCAGGGCACTGCAGCAACTGCCTCTAGATCTCTACTCAAATATTTGCTAGGTGCCCAGCATGTGCCAGGCACTTAAATATGAGTAAGACTCTGTACCTGCCCTCAGTAAGGTCACATAATTCCATTAATACAGCCTAATTAAAGATCTCCACACTTGTTTCAGGGTCATGGCTCATGCTGAACTTGGAATGGATTTAAGTTCATACACTTCGCAGTCAACAGAATAACTCCTTCCAGTCAAAGTGCAGAGCTTTACCCTAGCCCTTGGTAGCTTCTATTATTTTGATTTTTGTCTTATTCCAATAACTAATGTAAGAACTCTGGGAAGATATTAACTCTTGTTAAAACTAAGGCAGTTAATACTTCCTCAAGAAATAAAGGTGTTCTTTCATTTCTTCTCACTGAAGTTAAAAATAGTTTCTGAGGGAAGGGTGAGTTAGCCTGTGTGGTTTTATCTATGGCGCTATACAGACTGTTTAAACAAAAGCCAAGCTGTGTTGGGTCATTCCATGGTACCATACAGTGTGATGGTAAATGAGGTCATAACTTTGCTTTCTCTTTTTTTTTTTTAAGTGGCAGGAGCTTGAACTGGCAATCTCCTACTCACCCTTCAAGACCAAATGCAGGCGGCACCACTTAGGTGAAGACTTCCAGATTCTTAGGCAGAGGGAACAACCACATCTGTATTTTTTCCCTTGCTCCCAGCTCATTACTGTGGCCTGCTGCTGGGTCATCTGCCCATTTTCATGATTGTTTAGGGCGATAAACCAACCCCATTTGTTGGAAACTGTCCTAGCTTTGGCACTAAAAATCCCAAGTCCTGGGAAACCCCTCAGTCCTGAGCAAATCAGACAAATAGGTCCCTTTACGACACAGTGGCTGACTGTGCAATAAAACAGCCATCATTTATGAGGGGCCAAAGCCAAGCACTTTTTTATAACAAATATTACCTGTTTTTAAACTTAAGACACTTCTTACAGTAATTACAACTCTCCCATTTTACTGACAGAGGAGACAGGTAAGCAGCTTGCCCAAGGTCACAGGAGTGCCTGGAACTGCGTCTAGTCATCCCCGCCACACAGCACTGCCATCTTCAGGCCTTTGGGGCCAGGCCACACAGCACGTGCGCTCTCTCCCAGCACATCACGGAGGGCAGTGATCACCTACCACAGTCCTGCTTTCACTCAGCATCGGCTAGTATGCCAGCGCTGGTGCCGAATAGGGCTCCAGGCATTTACAAGAGGGTCCATGTGATGGGAGGAACGCATCAAATGCACATTTACATGCACTGCTTTTACACCTAAGTGCAACCCGCAGAGCATGCTGCGGAAGAGGACAATACCAGAGGTTCAATATGCCCTGTGTTCTCTCACAAAGCCAACAGGAAGCTGTTTGTGACCTGACAGTAGAAAACACTTGGCTATGTGCAGAAGAGAAAGTCCAACCGCTAGGCCAGCCCCCAGGGCTGCTTCAGGTGGGACTTCCTGATTAGTGTGATGGGGCACAGAGCACCAGGAAGCCAGGCCACACTGCCTGGCAAGGAGGGCAGCTTGCCATTTGTTGACACTGTGATTTGGGAAACAGTCTTTACCTTAGCAACCTCCTGCAGGGCGTGGGTTACCTTTCAGGACCTACATACTCTACGTGCACTCATTTCTATATATGTATTTTATAGGGTTTCAAAGCAACCTCCCCGCCTCCAAATTTAAAAAAGTGGTAGTATGAGGACCTTCCTCCCCATTTTCAAACAGCAGTTCTACAGGTAAGTCAAGAGCTCTAAGAATGCAGCGCCCCACCCCCACCCTCAACGCGCCCACCGCGAGCAGCATTGTATGGAGATGCCGCACGCGCGCTATCTCTCCCAGGCCCTCCCCAAACGCTCTGGAGCCGGGGCCCTCCTCCCCTGGGGGGGTGCCGTCTGGCTCCCCTGGGAGGGGGAGGGGGAAACTAGGAGCCACAGAAGCAGCTGCGGCGCCGTTTCCACGGTTAATCAGTTTACCTGCGATGTGTATTGGCTGGACCCCCCTGGGAACCTTCCCTGGCTCCCCCAGGGTCCAAGGATAATTTAAAAAGCTCTTCAAAGCCCCAGCCCTTCTCGGAGCCAGCCCAGGACTGGAAATCTGGGAGAGGCAGGCTCTACTCTTCAAAGTGAGAACAAATGCTAAAGGATTTAGCACTTAGTAGGTAGTCAATAAATGTTAACTTTGTTTCTCAAGTCTGGCCTTCCCCTCCCTCACACAAAACCATCTCCTTCCCGAACCCGATCCCCGTTCCTTCCTGAAATTCCACAAGACTAAAGGTCATTTGTATTTCGACCTAGTGGGTGCCACTTCCCTTTCTCTCCCAGGCAGAGGGCGGAGTCCCTTTGCCAGACTTCATTCTGTTCATCTGCAAACCGGGGCAGGGGGCGCGCGTTTGCCGTCCTTGCCGAGCTGTCGCTCTGGGATATAATCACACCGCGCCCATTACAACAGTAACTTCGAGCCGCAGTCCTCGGGACAAGGGGAGGCTCACCGCGTGGATGCTGCGGCAAAGACTCCACTGCAGTTGGACGTAATAAGGAAGCCCCTCTGGGCTTCCTGGGCTTCCCGTGTTCCCGTGCGCTGACCAGGCCTGTGCTCTCTACGCACACTGGGCACATCTGCTCGGGCCGACCAGCCCCACGCGACAACACGCGCTGGCCCGAAGCACCCGCACAGTGCCGGCCCCAGTGTTTCAACCCATTACCATGCCGGTCCCCACCTAGTTCACGGCGTGAAGTCCCAGGCAGGAAAATCACCGGCCACCCTGACGGATCCTCCAACAGGGCCGCCAAATGGCCCAGGTCTTGGGTCCAGGTCAACGCAATCAGTTCCCGGGGGAGGACTCTGGGGGACGGTAGGGAGGAGGTGGGAGCAGAAACCCAGCGATCCCAGCGCCGACCACCAAAATCGGAGGCTTCCGCGGTCACCTACCCACGGGTGACAGCGCGGCTGATTGGCCGACGTCTGGGTTGCGCGGGGGACACTCAGATCCTGCCACCCCGCAGTCCTCTCTCTTTCTGAACGGAATCTGGAGGTCAGGCCCGCGCTCACATAGAATCGGGGCTCCTCGGGGATGTGACCTTCACCGCCACCACCGCCCCGCGCCGCCACCTAGTCTTCCAGTTTGCTTGCCCTGGAAACACGCACCCCCACACCCGCCCCACATATACTCGTGGAGATTAAATGGTCCCAGCAGGGCTCCAGATCACCTCTGTTCCGTCCCCAACATGCCCGGTACGCGCGCGCTCAGTACTCACCGAGATTGGGGTGTCGGGCTGCGGGGTTGGCCCGGCCGGGCAGGCTGTGCAGGACCGGGCTGTCGAAGGGACCGGCCGAGGCGGCAGCTGCCGCGGCCCAGGATGCGCCCACGTCGGCCATGTAGGCCGGGTAGGGGCTGGAGTAGGAGCCCGCGAAGCCGGCGCGCCCGTACTGCTCGCGGCCCGCCAGGCCCGCGCCCGCCGCCCCGCCGCCGCCGCTATAGGCCGCAGCCTCCCGGGCCGCCGCGGCGGCGGCGGCGGCCGCCAGGGACCCGGAGGTTCCCGGGAAGGAGAAGCGCGGAGACACGGGCGGCGGGGTGTAGGCGGCCCCCTCGGCTCCCGCCTGGCTCCAGCCGGGGCTGCCCTGCTGGGTCCCCGGCCCGGCCCCCGATGGGGCCGCCCCGGAGCTGCCGCCCGCGGTGGCTCCGGACGCAGCGCCGCCGCCTCCGCCCTGGAGGTAGGACAGGCCCAGCACGGACGAAGGCACCCGCGGCGTGGGCACGTAGACGGGCGAGGGCGCGGCGCCCGCGCTGTGCATGAAGGCGCCGGGGCCGCCCGCCTCGTAGGCCCCGGGAGGCGGGCCGTGGTTGGCGGCCATGGCCAGGCTCTGGTACATCGCCCCCGCGAGCTCTCGGCTCCTGCGTCCTCTCTCAGTCGCGGGCCAAGATGCAACGAGGGAGAGAAAATAATAATAATAATAATAATAATGTACAGGTGAGGGGTTGTCACAAAAAAAGATCAAAAATCAAAGGAAAAAAAAAACCAAATCCCTCAAAAACATATACGTATTAAATCCAGCATTGGGCAAAAGACTCTAGGCTCTTGTTTACTCAGGAAAATCCCAAATTGAAATTTTGGTTCTTCCCGGAGGTGGCGGAGGAGGGGCCGAGTCCACCCCTGGGCCTGGAGGTCCCGAGTGCCTGGGGGGCGGCGACGCGGGGCAGAGCGGGTCGGGCCTTCGGGGCCCGCCGGGCAGAGGCTGTGCACGGTACTCAGGACGCCCGCAGGGCTCCGGCGGGCTGGCTCCCAAGCCGAGCGCCGGGCTGGCTCCTCTCCTCGTTGCAGCCGCAGCCCTAAAGGAAAGACAGAAAGGGAGAGAAGTTCATCCGGAGCCTCAGAGCGCCCTTTCCCCAAACTTGGCTGCTTTTACCACGTTACAAACGAATTCGACACTCTAGGGACCCAGCTTTGGAGGCCGTGCGGTTCCATCGCGAAGTTGTAGCCTATTTTGCAGAGAGCGTGGGGTCCGGATGCCCGAGAGAATCCTTGGAAGAACATCTTAGAGATGTGGGGCTTCCCAGTTAATTGCACGGGTAATTATTGGTTGTGATCTAGGCCTTTTTTCTTTTTTGTACTGCTTGTCAGGAAGGGCTTTAATTTTTATTTTTCAAGCATATTCTTGGCACAGTATTTTATAAGTCCAAGAGTTTCAGGTTTCTGCAGGGTGCCTGGGACTGAAGAGATCTCGGTCATCTCTGCTCCCCCACCTGTCCCTAAGAGGCCCTGGCCATGAAAGAACCTGAGATTGCCCGAAGACAGTGATGAACTTCATAAAAACCAGCAACCTAGGAAATTTTTGTTTGCTATCTTTAAGGAAAAAACTAGAGGTAGAGTCTAAATGTTTATAAATGAACACAGTGTCTGCTAAATCTCAGTAAAAAGTGAAACCTCTTATCCATACACTATACCATGTGAATGTCAAAGCAGACAAGATATACGTTTATTACAAATATGAATATTTTAAAGATTTTGCAGATTGAATATTAAGATCAGAAAAGTGAGGAAAGTACAGGGTCACTTCCCAGAACTATTCACTGCACTAGTCCACTTCAGTGAATGGGTTTCTCTGTAAGACTCACTGGCCCACCCAAGGAATCAACACCGATAAGACTGCTTGGAGGAAAGAACAGTTTGGAGGACTTGATTATATCCTTGTATCCCATGTTTTGATTTTACCAAGCAATTTTTTCTGATAAAACAAGAACTCCTTGTTCTGAAGCACCTGCTGGGTGCTGGGTCCTTTTCTCCACGACTCTGCTAAGAATGTCTCTCATTTTACAGAAGAGGGAACTGAAGCATTGGAAAGTTTTGAAACTCGTCTAAGATCAAAGTACAGTTAAAGGGGGTGGGGGAGGAGATCTGCAGGGCTCCAGAAGTTTGAAGCTGTCCACTACACTCCTGCTTTTCTCCTTAAGCAGCAGCGGCTACAACTAACAGCGGTTTCTTTTCCTTTGCAATAGTAGACTTACAAAATATTTTAACTTAACTGTATAGTAAATCCAGACTCTGCTAACTTACTGAATGACTTTAGACATACTACTTAAGCTCTCTGTGCCTCAGTTTCCTCATTTGCAAACATGCAAATATATTAAAGGTATCTATCTTGCAGTGAATCATCGTGAGGATTCAGAGGTTTATAAATTAATGTGTAAAGCACAACAGGGTCTTAGAAAACTGTTGTAACAGGAACAAAGTTCCATATAATTGTTGGCCATTATTATCATAATACCATAAGATATCTAATGTACCATAAGAACCTCATAAGAAAGTACCTCAGATGTACTGTAATAAATGGTCATCTTTATTATTGTAAGAAAACTGAAACTGGAATCTCTAATGTACACTATATAATGCTTTTAACTATTTTTGCAATATCACTAATAATAATAATGGAATTAATAGCACTGTATTATACAGTGACATGTTAAACTCCTAAATGGTTTATTATTTGCTTTCAAAACTGTAAAACAAAGTATTGGCTGAGTGACTTCTCCTTCCAGTAAAAAGTTTGGTTAGACAGTGGATACAAAAAATTTGACCTGAGATCACCAACTTTACCCCTTTCAAAATGAAGGCAAAAAATTAATACCTCATAGGAATCTCTGGGCTTCAAATAATTAAATACATAGGCTTATCTAAATAAAATGTTCTGTATTGAATTTTAAAGCCAAATCGTTTACCTATTTTATCTTATTTTCTGTAATGCCCAACTTCTGCAGTTCTGAAACATGTCATAGGGGTTTTTTTCAAATAATGTAGGAAAGGAAAATTTATAATTTTGTGATCCAACTTCCAATATACATAGATGCTAACTCACAAGCTTAAAATGCAAATGTTAGAAATTCCATAAATCGAACATTTGCTTTCATTACATTCTCTGCCTTTTTAAATGGCTGACACATTACCTCGGAGTTGGATTACTAAGCAATAGAAGGTGGAGAAAGTAACCCTCAATACATTTCTGGAAAAACAAAGGGACTATTCCCTTAAAACGACTCTTGCTAGTTTCTGTAATTGAGCCCAGGTTGGGGCGTCCGAGAACCGACCGAGCTTCTGGGAGCAGCAAGAGAGGTCTGGCCTCGCCGTGGGGGCCCAGGCCCGCGCCCGGGTTTTCTCTCTCCTCTAGATCACTCCTCACAGCTCACCTCAAATTCAAGGGCCAGGCAAGAAATGCTAATTTCGCCCACAGCCCTTTCCGATCTGTTTGTAAGAAGGACCGCAAACCCCCTGACGTGCTCGTCTGTTTACAGGTTGCTCCTGCTCTTTGGGCTCTGGCGCCCCTTCGCTCCCGGCTGCGCAGAAAACTGTCCCGCACGGTCGCACACACTAGCCCGCAGCACTGCAGCGGCCCCCTGCCGGGGACGTGGCGTCCCAGGGGGGTGGAGGACATCCTCCGGCCCCCGAGTGAAACTTTCCTTCAAAGCCTGAAACCTGCTCTGGGCTGCCGGTTCCTTTTCTGAGAAACACAGGAAATACTTCCCCGAGGCGCTTCCCCAACCTTCCCGGCAGCGCGGGCTGCGCTGGCCGACTCCCACGACCGTGGAACCCTCTCCACCCTCTTCCCGCACCCGAAACACCTCCATTCTCCCAATCTGGTGGCGGTTCACCGCCTGCGCCTACTCCCCTGCGTGACCCCCTGTCCGAAGCCACGCGACATCATGTCGAGGACTGGCCAACCGGGGGACGTCACCGCTCTCCGCCCGGGCGCAGGCCCTCGGCTGGTTTCGCCCCGAAGCTGTGTGCGCGGCGGGGGTTGTTGGCGGCGCGAGGGGCGGCTAACTCCTGGGATCCAGCCGGGACGGCCAGATGCCGGCCGGGCGGGCAGGAAAAGCCCGGGCGCTCGGCAGGCGTCCCCTCTGGGTCCCTGGAGCCGCCGGCGCGCGACACTCCTCAGTCTGGGTCCCGCCGAGGGGCTCCGAGTGCGGCCTGCGCCGGGTCCGTGGCCAGGGTGATTGCGCCCGGCCGTCCTCGCCACCCAGGCCCCAGCCCGCGGGGCACACACAGGGCTGGAGAATCTGCACGCGGCGGCGGGGACGCAAACGTTCAAGTTCACTCGGAAAGAATCCAAAAGCACTTCGAATATCCCTCGCCGCTTTCCCCCCACAACTTACTTTGATTTAGTGAAGTAGGTCGGGCTCTTTTTGTTGTAAGACAGCAGAGCGGGCTCTGGCCAGTCTGGGGGAACGGGGAGCTGGCAGTGTGTCCTCTGCGCCCACTAGTTGCCTCTCCGCTCCAAGCACACCGGCGCGGGGGGGCTCTGAGTGCCGCGAATGGCGGGGAAGTGCGGGAGGGAAATTAAACGCCGTACCTGCCGGGGCTTGAGCTTCCTGGAGGGACGGCGAGCGCTCGCCTGGGCGTCCCAGGAGCTGGGCAGCTCGCGGCCACTGTGCCGGCCGCCTCCGAGTCCCCCAGCCCGCGGCGCGGGTCCCCTCGCCCCTGCGCTCCCGCTCGCCGGCGCTGACTGGCCGGTGGGAGTCACGTGCAAGGGCGGGGGCGGGAGTGCGCCGCAGAGGCTGCACCGCCGCTGGGCGCCGGGTGCGGGGCTGTTCAAAAAGCTCCCCCAGCAGGCAAAGTCCAGGCTCAGGGATCTCGAAAAATGCCAAAGTGCTACCGCCGGGGCGCGAGACTTCACCCAGTGCCCTGCCTGAGGTCGGTTCGGTTTGCAGTTTTGCTCCGGGTCAGCGCTGTTAATGAGCCCCGCTCTCCACCTCCCGCCCCTCCCCCTGCCTCCTGGCGGTCCCGGTCCAGCCGCAGCCAGGACGCAGTGGGCTAGGGGCGGGGCTGATAGGAAGGTGACCTCTGGGGCGCGACCCCCGGTCAGCTGTGGGCGCTCGGTTACCAGGCGTGCCGGCTGGCTGCAGGTCTCCGGGCGGTAGTGGGCAGTGGGTGTCCTCCGGCCCGGGACTCCGGGTAGGTGCGAGAGCTACCCAGCCTGGGATTGACTCCCTCAATTCAGGGCGCAGAGAAGGAAGCCCACCTCTCGCCTTCTCGGCAGCCCAGGAGTCGGCAAGACTCCCGCTCCAGCCCTGAGTTCTATGTGTCCTGCAAAACGTGCACCCCTTCCTGGCGACACTGCCCATCTCCTGCGGCCTCCTCCCTTCAGAACTTTCCATTTTCCCTGCAGCCTGCGGCGCCGCTGTGCCAATCTAAGGGAGGAGGCGGGGGCTTGGGGAGCTCTGCCGTCCCGCGGGGCTTCTCTGCTGAGAGGGCCCGCCAGCAGCCTCAGCCACCCCCCCCGGAGCCGGGGCGGGGAGGGTGCAGGCCTAAGTTTGGAGTCGGCGTCAGTGCCTAGAGGCCCCAGCACAGCTGGGCTGCGAGACGGAGAGTCCCTCAGACAGGTCTAAAGGTTAATAGAGCAATCACAGGGCCCTATTACCGCGTAAAAATAACCCATCGATTACCGCAGCCTTCAGCCCCAGATAACAGCCGGCCGGTGGCTCTCACGCTTTCGGTTAAATTTTTTTTTTTTAAAGACCTGGGTTGTCCTTCGCAGGTTTCTCAACACCAGATTAGAGGGGTCGGCAGGGGGGCGGGATACCACCCTGCACGAAACCTTTGCTTCCCCGAAGGAAGGGTAGGGGCGACACCGCTTCTGCAGTCCGTGGATTCCCGGCCTGCGCGAGGGCAACCCGAGAGCTGAGGACGAGGCTAGGACGCGGGGCCGATTGGGAGGAAACCCCCAGAGGGACCGTAGCCAACTCGTGGGGATTCTCAGGAAAATCCCGGAGGAAGGACTGAGCGCGGCTGCGCGGGGAATTCTCTTTCCTGAGCCAAAGGTGCTGAGGTGTAGAGGGGCCCGAGAGGAGAAGAGGAGACTGAGGCGCCCGCTGAGCCGCGCAGGTCTGCGTGCAGGCTGGACGCATCGACGCCGCACCCCGGGCTGCCGCCCGTCTGGGTCCCGTGGCGCCCCGGAAACTGAGAGCCAGAGTGCTTACGACCCTTCGCCAGCTTCTCCAGCTCCTCGCCAGCGCCTCTGCAGAATTTGGGGCGGCACATCCCAGGCCTGGGAACTTCAGAGGGAGCGGGTCCTGGAGATCTGGGAGGCTGGAGCTGGGGAAAAGCGGTTTGCACAGGACGCTCCGACCCGCGCCCTTTCAGAAGCCGCGGGGGAGGGCCCGCGCCCCTTGCCCTGCCTGAAATGGGTGCTATCCCCATTGGGGTGAGCCAGAGGGGCACAAAGCCAAAGGCCTTGCGTCAGGAGCCTCCGAGGGCCTTCTGTAGAGTGGAAAGTCTGGAAGCTACCCAGGCCTGCCTGCAGCTCCGTGGGGGGCTGTGGCTGTGTTGCCCGAGGGCTCAAAATGCCTCCCGCGCGCCACCCTCAGAGGGTGAAAAGGCTGAGCCTGGGGCCCCGGCAGTGGATTTTCTAAGCAACAAGCCAGGGACGTGGGGCTTGGCCCCTGGTGGAGCGGCGATCTGAGCGGCCTCCCCAAAGTCAAGAACACAGGCCGCTTCCACGCGGCTTCTTCTGGCAGTGCGGGATGGGCGTGGACGCAAGAGCCCGTGTATCGAGGTTCCCTTAGCTGGGTGCTGGGCGATGAGCCTCCGCCCCCCACTTTGCCTACCCCCAGCCTCCTGGAACTTCAGTCTCTTCCTTCGTACAAAGGTGGGGCAATAACAGGCTCTACTCTTTGTGGCTGTTGTGAGACCGGTTGGAACAGCCCGCTCTTTCTAAGCTATTGCTTCCGGGGAACCCCGGATTCGTAGGGGGGCCGCTCCTGGCCAGGTACCCAAGGGGGCATTTACCCGCATCCCCCCCCTGGCGCTCTGCAGGTGGGCTGAGGCCTGGGTGCCCGTGAAAGATTCGTTGCTTCTAGGAAGGCGCTTAGGACAGAGAAATTTGCGTCTGTTTCCTGTGACATTTTTCTTGGGGCCAGAGCCCCAACTTTCTTCCCAGAGGGCTCAGCTCAAGGACGGTCTAGAGGGAGGTTGGCGGGCGGCCTTCTCTTTCGGGGCATTTCATCTTCCCTCGCTGCCTCCCTCCTTTTTTTGCGCGTCTCCTCCCTCCCTTTGGCGAGGCAGCAGTCGACCGGGCAGCTGCGTTGCCAGGAGCGGGGAGCATTTCAAGGCCTCGCTGGCCGCCGGCTGGAGGAGGTTTACCGGCTGCCGCTAGGTTCCCAGGCTTCTCCCTCGCTCGGGAGGCCGCGGGGGGAGGGGGCGCTGGGAGGGGGTACTCTGAGGCTCTGGGTCCTGGCTATTTTTAAGGAGATGTCCCTGGGCTGTGCTGGGATGGTGGCCCAACCCCGCTCACGTCCTCTTTCCGCTTTTCTTTCCCATAATCTACAGGGAAATACTAATACTGTGAAAATCTTTCACGTCCTTTTACTAAGGGCCTGGGACAAATGAAGTCAAGTTGTTAGATTTTAGGCACATAAGAATTGCTTAGATGCACTTCTCATATAGCATACCAAAAAAAGAAAGAAAGAAAGAAAAACTCTCCAGGAGACAAGAATAAGTTGTGTTTCCTAGCTCCGTGAAGACCTCTGGGACTTGAGGGAGTCCATAGCCTCGTAGGACGCAATAGCAGGCTGTACATACTGTACATACTGTACAGAGGAATTTGAACTCTAGTTCCCTTGGGGGGATGGGGGTAATAAATAGTGGACAATGGAATTCACAGTGACACCAGTGAGGGTCTCCCCGCGCGGATTTCCTGGCAGGACCCGAGTGGGCTTGCTTCAAGTAGGCGTCACAATCTCAAGTTCTGGCTGGTAAGGCCGGTGGGCACCCTGCAGAAATTGGCCTCTGCGGCCGCCGTACAGGATCCCCCAAAATCTTAAAATCAACAAAACACCCTCAGAGAGAGAGAACCAGAGAGGGGCCTACAGAAGTCACCCCTCATCCTGTGGAACGAATTCCTCCGAGATGTAGACGCTTCTCTGCCCACTTGTGCACAAGGGCTACAGAGCAGGCATGCAAAGCGACCCGCGCGGAAAGTAACCCGGCTCCCGTCCCCTCTCGGTCCTCCAATTCCCCGCGGGGCCTGGGTGCCCCAGGCAAGGCTCCTCCTTCCTCTGCCACCGTCAGCCCTCACTCTAGGGGCTCGCCGGGCACCCTGCACCACCACCACCACCACCCGCGGGCGGAGCACTGAGAATCGAGGAGCGGAGCTGGGAAGGTCCCGGCTGATGGAAAAATGAAGAACGAATTGAGCTGCAAGGCTACGCAGACCTTGTCTCCCTCCATGAATCCGGTGCCTGGGACACCAGGTCCGGGGTGGGGCGGCGGAGGCTGGCGGGGGCTGCCACCAGGAACTGAGCTCTGGGCTCCAGCAGGCGATGGCCAGCTTCGTGCCATCAGGCGGGAGGACAGAAGACAACCCTTTTTAAAAGTCCTTCTTTTCAAAATACTATTCGGTGTTGCAAAGGGAAGCCATGATCCGGCACACAGACCTCTACTGAGGCTTCCAGCCCTGAGACCAGAGCTTTGGCACATATTTTATAGTCATTTCCAGATCGCAGGACACTCTCAAATTCGGTTTTGTTTTTTTTTTTGTTGTTTGTTTGTTTTCTCGAGGAAACTACCTCGCCGCGCTGGGGGACGGAAGAGGTGTGACTGTCTTCATACAAAAAGCAGCGTGGAGACCCAGAGAGGCTAAGACACTGGCCCAAGGTGACAAACACGGTGCGCTGGGCAACAGGTCGCAAATTCCTCAGCCTTTTTATCCATTGTATTTAATATCGCGCTTTTATAATGAAATGCTTTTCAAAACCCTGGTTTTGCCTTTCAAACATTTCTAAATTTCCTTTAATGAGGATACGTCTGACATTTGAAAATGAAAACCAATTGAAAATAAAGTTACTGTTTCCTAACGGAAGGAAGGAAAAGCGAAAACGAGTCTCCACATTCTCATTAAGTTTGGGAGGGATGCCAGAGGCCTTTTGAATGGGAAGGCGCTCCTCAGATCCCGGGGCGGCCCAGGCCAGAACTGAAACCCGGTCTCGGCGCCCGCACGTCCGGGCACTGCCGCCAGCAGGTCGCAGCGCCGAGCCCTCGGCGCTCTGTGCCGCGCGTGCGCCCCTCTGCTCCCTCGCAGCCCCGCTCTCCGCCCCCCTCCTCACCCAAAACCCTCGGAAAAACGGCAGTAAGCCGGGGCTTCGGGCCCCCACTGCCCAGGCTCCGGGAGATCCGCCCCGGGCCTGCAGGCTCTCTCAGCTCCCTAGCGGGGCCCTAGTCTTCAGGGGCCGAAGGTGCCACTTCTGGCATCTCTCCCTTGGTGACCTGGGCCCCACCTGTGGGTCCTCCCTGTCAGGGACTTTAGCACTTTCAGCACTGCCAGCGCCCAGTCCACACAGCAAGAAAACGATCAATGCTCTTGGAATATATAAAATGTTAATTTGCTTTATTCATAGGCTTTACGTCCCCTAGAGTTTATAATTCGTTTATCTGGTGCGGGTTATACACGCTCCTCACCACACACACCCTAAGCTCTGTGAGGCAACGACCATGGCTGGCACACAGTAGATGCTCAGTAAATGTTTGTTGAATGATTAAAATTGCAAAAGAGATTGCTAATAGCATCGCTCTGGGTTGCTGGAGTTGGGAGAATGGAACACATTGGTGCCCAGAGTCGCCACCATTTCTCAGCGTAGGACACAGTAGACCAGGCCAGACAAGGAGAGACAGGGTCACAGTTTGGGTCGCCGGGGAGGTTTATCTGCGAGGCTCAGCACCCACCCCCCCTCCCCACCGCCCCCGGGCTGCCTACAAATCTCTCGCTCAAATCTAGGCTCCCCCTAAGGAAACCGAGGAGTCCCTGGACTCTGGAGCCTGCAGGAAGAAGGGATTTCCGGGCGCGCAGTCAGTATTTTGGAAGTTGAGTTCAGCTAGGGAGCCCAGCTAGGCGCTGAGACAGCGGCATTGGCGAGGGAGGCCAGGGACAGATAAAGGACGCCAGGGGCACCGTCTCTCCAGGCTCGGGGGCAGGGCCATACATCCTGGAAAGACGGAGGGACCCAGTCAGACACCAGGATGAAGGAAAAATGGGGGTCTGGAGGTGGAGAGAGACAGAAACTAGGGGAAGGAGAGAAAAGGGGGGCAAGACGAAGGAAGGCAGGTGGAGCACAGAGAAGCCTGGGCAG